AACTTTCAAACACGATTATACTCATCGGGGAGCATTCTCATCATTAACAATCATAACCACAAGTAATTTAACACTCTTTAGACACGCCGTAAGAAATATATCCCGTATATCAACGATGCCCTACGACAAAGAGAAAAAAAAAATTGTAATGTCAAGGTTCCAGCGCCCTCCCTAGCTGCCTTGCGGATGAGAGTGAGTCAGAGCTCGAGCATGTCCTGCCACGGAATCTGAATGATAATGAAGAAGAAAAGCGAAATCCTTCCCACTCCGCTAACCCCACCATCACGGAGTACCCTTCGTCACCTGGCCTTGAGGTGAAGTAACAGGGAGAGGGAGCGTTCAGGTGGGGTGAGGAGGGAGGGAGAGAAGGGGGAGAGGGCAGGGCAGGGCACCGGGAGAGGAGGAGACCACAGAACGTACCAACGCTATTGCATCATAGCCACATCCGCGGGATTTCCTACCCGTGAGTCACTCGGGGCTGGGATAGACCTACCCAGCGATGTACTTAAGTCTCTGTCACTATGGTACTTTGGCTTTCTTATAATAGCATCCACTACGAGCAACCTTCGCATTTTGACATCAAATTCCCACGAAAATAAACACTAGCATTTTCCTTCTTCCGCGTATGTCGTGGTTTACAAGAAAAGCGAAAATTAGTAGTACAATTAGTGCATCTTACCTACATTTCGCTTTTCGCTCGGGGTGTCAATACAGTATCGATTCTTTCCCTTTCGCCTAGCAACAGACAAAGACTTTCTTCACCTGGACTTTCTCTCTGAGTCACAAAGAGTTTTGCGGAGTCACCTCTATACCTTATTATTTTCGCCAAAACACAGAATAGCACACAGTCCATTTCAAGGTCCAGGAAATGGAATAACGGAAATATATGACAATGCGCTTTATATCCAGCAAAGGTTATTCATTTGGAGTGATTATAACGAACAGTATTTGTCAGTCCCCCCTTCCTCTTGTCCGTGCTTTCTCACAAAGGAATATGCTTTGGTAGTGCCAAACTGTGTAAAAAAAATACCAAATTATTGTGACGAGCATGGCTGAATTAATGTAATTAGGAAAGGACTAGCGCTGTCTAATCCTTCTGGCGATTATGAATGACTTCCAAGTTAAATGAAATTCAGCCATATTAATTAGGTTTTGTATGAGAATCTTGTCTTGCTTGTATTCTACACTGTTAACAGATAATTGCAAGTTCTTCTCAGGACATCTATTTATCAGTCTGTGTTCTTATCAACATATCTTTCAGTCTATCTATCTTTCCTTTAATCAACTAATCTCTATATATACATTGTAAGTGCACACTTGCTCCTGTCTATCCTTCATTCGTTCCTTCTATTTCATTCGGCTTTCCTCTCCCACTTCCTCTCTGTATCTATCCTTTCTCCCATTCTTATCTTATTACTATTAATCACAAAATAATAATTTCGAACACACATGTAGATTAGTATACCTGAAACCAACACCCATCTCTCAGAAAACGTTCAGAAATACTCGTTCACCTTGAACAAAAATAATCGGGCGTGCCAGACGTATGAGTAAACGCACGTTGCCGAGAGAGAGAGAGAGTATGACGTCATACTAATGTTACGTCATTGCGTATATGACGTCACTAGGCTGTCCTCTTCCGCCTACTTCCTGTCGAGTTGCCAGCTGCCTCGACCGTCTCTTCAGGAAAGTTGGTGACGAATGGCGGCCTCGGTCGAAAGGAATGCAACCTCGGAAGTGTTTTACTACGTGTGCTTAAGACGTAAATACAACGCAAGATTTGCTATTAAGATATAATGATCGTAAAGGAGGTTTATTCTTTCAAAGACGTTCTCAAAAACATTTTTAAAACTAGGTTATGTTGTGACGGTCATTCTCAGGATGAATCTCTAAAATGAGTTATTCTTAAGACGAATCTTTGAAGTTGATTAACTAAAAGAAACATAACACACACATACATACATGCATATATACATATATATATAGATAGATAGATAGATAGATAGATAGATAGATAGATAATAGATATATATACATATATACATATATATATATAGATATATATATATATACATATATACATATATACATACATATACATATAGACATACTCATATATATATAAATATATATATATATATATATATATATATATATATATATTATATATATATTATATATGAACAATGGGTCAGAGCGCATTCAAGTTTCCGAAACAGCAAAACACCCATTGCCTGCAACTGATAATTTGCGAAACCATTGATACTATCAATGTTATTATCATTACTGTAATTAGAAAAATATGTCTCAGGAAATACTCGTTGATATGCTAGAATGATTAAGCGTGACTGTCGTACGTTTTGTATTTATTTTCTGTTTTATTGATAGTTTCTCCACATTTGGTTTTGTTCAATCAGTAGAGTTTATTCTCCACAATATTGGAACAAAATCATTACACAAATATGTTTCTCGAGGAAATGGATTAAAGAATAGATAATATTTTCATATTAAAGGATTTTTATTATTAAATATAATATACATCTGGTAGTAAAATTATGTCAGAAAACTTCTATATTTCACACATATATATTCTCCTAAAAAAATGTAAAAATCGCATAGGCCTATCTCTCTTGGTGGGCTCCGAATCGAGCTCGACAGAGCGAGTGCAACTTTAATCCTAACCTAAACACAGCGACTTATATCTTCACGAAAAATACTCTGTTAAAAAGGTCATACACGTGTAACTTGGTTGTAGTTGATGCATCACTATCAACATATACACAAGAGAAAAGAAGAAAAGAAGAGAGGAAATCTGAGGACCTAGTATATACACCTATCTATGTACACGGAATAAATGACTCGACAAGTCGGCAGCACCTGCAGGAGACGTAGGACGCAGGGCACTTCCGTGGGGGCGGGGAGGGGGGGGTCGAGTCCCCTCTACTGGCATTAAGGAATATCTTTGGCACTCTAGCAATGAAGTCTGACTTCGATGATAAACTCCTCCAGCAGTGACCTTTGTTGCAGCAAATGCAGATCCAACATCTCTCTGCTTCGGGGAAATGCCTTGCACTTGACTTTCGACTCAATGAATCCTTCCTAAAGCTAAGGGCGATGAATACCTGGACAGAGAGACCCTCGCGACCGCTGTGCCGCCGCGCAGCCGGAGCCTTCGGCCTGAGGGCGGCCCCGCAGGCACAGCGCCTCCTTCAGATCCCGTCGCATCGCAGGCGGACTGAACACTTCTCGTGCCTCTGACGGCCGCCAGAGGCAAGGGCGGCCTCCCTGGCACCTAGACCTGCGTGTTCGGCCTCAGCGTGCTGGCCTGCCCGACCTCGTCCATGCTGCTGGTGGATCCGGGGAGCGGCAGCTTGTTGGTGGAGTCGTGGAGGCCGTGGTTCAGGAATTGCTCCTCGATGTTGGCGCGCACGATCGAGGACTCGTCGTCGTAGCCGTCGAGGGGCGGCGCCGTGGCGCGGCCGCGGCCCATCTTGTGGATGCGGTGCAGACTGCGCCTGCTCCTGCGGCGCTCCTCGCACACCTTGTACGTGAAGATGCCCCCAATGAGGCAGAAGAGGAGCAGGATGATCACCTCGGCCAGGGTCAGCCCGATGCCCATCCACAGGAACTGCTGGTCGTAAGCCTGAAACGAGAGGAAAGCGTCAGTCGCGAGCCTGACCTTCCGCTGACGTCGCGGCCTTTCGGCTGACGTGCGCGCTTTTTGTTTCCGCTCCGGGAGGCCGGCGGAGTGGGTGGAGTACTCCTAATGGCGCAATTATGTATGTTTAAGCTGCAGTAAATTCATCCGGACGAAAAACAGCCTTTTTATCTTTAATTCCTACTCTTTTTGTGAGTTGTTTGGCGGCGAAAGTTTTGATCCGCCACGGACATCTGCCTCGTGGAACTAAGTGAACTACCTACACTATTTCCTTATTTCCTTATCATAGAACGATAAAAACAGAGCGGGGAAGTGAGAAAGTGGGGGGAAGGGAGGGAGGAGAGAGGGAGGGGAGAGGAGAGAGAGAGAGAGAGAGAGAGAGAGAGAGAGAGAGAGAGAGAGAGAGAGAGAGAGAGAGAGAGAGAGAGAGAGAGAGAGAGAGAGAGAGAGAGAGAGAGAGAGAGAGAGAGAGAGAGAGAGAGAGAGAGAGAGAGAGAGAGAGAGAGAGAGAGAGAGAGAGAGAGAGAGAGAGAGAGAGAGAGAGAGAGAGAGGAGAGAGAGAGAGAGAGAAGAGAAGAGAGAGACAGAGACAGACACAGACACACACACACACACACACACACACACACAGACAGTCAGACAGAGACAAACAGACAGACAGACAGAGACAGAAATGAAAAATAAAATCCTAGAAGACAACGAAATAAGTCTAATACCAACTGCCCACAACCAACCCACATGAAAAAGGGGAAAAAAAACTCACCGGTCTGATGGCTCTAAGGTGGTCGAAGTTCTTGAGTCTGATGAGCCACTGGCTGAGGAAGTACACGTTGATGCCCAGGGCGCCGAAGGCCTTGATGAGCCAGCACCAAGCGAGCCACGGCTTATGCTGAGGAGAGAAGTGGCTCGCGTTAGGAAGGAATCGAGAACGGTGTATTCATACCGCGAGGATCATCGAACGACGCCGCGGAATAGATAAAAAGGAATAAATGAATCAATAAAAACTGGATCATATTGCTCTCTCTCATCCCACGGTGGCTCTTACGCTCAGCTCTCGGGCAGAACGGTGGTGATTTTGCGTCGGTGTGTGTGTGGCTCGAGGGCGTGTTTGCGTGTTTGTTTGTGCGCGCGTCTTGTCCGTTCGTGTTTGTCTCTCTGTGTTTGTGCGTGTGTTGGGAAGTTTGTGGGGGGAGGGTGTGTGTGTGTGTGTGTGTGTGTGTGTGTGTGTGTGTGTGTGTGTGTGTGTGTGTGTGTGTGTGTGTGTGTGTGTGTTTATCTGGATGTGTTTACACATGTACTGATGTCCTTTTTGTTCGTTTACACATATTTGTTTCTATGTTTACACATGTTTTCAATCTTGTCTCAGACCGTCTGCCTTCGTGCCTGTGAGAGAGCGCAGCCAACATCATCTACTTACGGCAACCAACAGCCATCTACTTACGCCAACCAACAGCCATCTACTTACGCCAACCAACAGCCATCTACTTACGCCAACCAACAGCCATCTACTTACAGCAACCTACTTACAACCAACAGCCATCTACTTATACTTACGCCATCTACTTACGCAACAACAGCCAACTTACTTCTACTTACGCCCAACAGCATCTACTTACGCCATCTACTTACGCAACCAACAGCCATCTACTTACGGCAACCAACAGCCATCTACTTACTCTACTTACGCCCAACAGCCATCTACTTACGGCAACCAACAGCCATCTACTTACGGCAACCAACAGCCATCTACTTACGCAACATCTCTACTTACGCCAACCAACAGCCATCTACTTACGCCAACCCATCTACTTACGCCAACCAACAGCCATCTACTTACGCCAACCCATCTACTTACGCCAACCAACAGCCATCTACTTACGCCAACTCTATTACAGCCATCTACTTACGCGCCATCTACTTACCCTGACGAGAGCAACGATGTAAATAACAGCGAAGATCGGGGTCACGGCGCCCTCACCGATGCCGATGTAAGTACGGAGAGTGTACACTGGAAGGCAAACAAAGCCATTACCTTTTGCGTCGGAATATTATCACCATTATCAAAGGCACCATTTCCCATTTCTCAATCAGACGCGATCAGCATGATTCATCGCAATTAGAAGAAGAAAAAAATTACAATAATGATAAAGAGTATTTATAGCACAAGCGACGCGGGCCAAACTGTATGAACATGAAAACGAATATGTAAAAAAAATATATATACATAAATAGATATAAGATTTCGTCGTTACTCTAATTCTTGTTGTTTTATCTTTTTATGTTCTCATTTTCATTTACTTTTCTTTTACTTACACTGTTCGTAGTGGTATTTCTCGGCGTGGCATTCGTCAATGGGCAGCTCTCTGGGGCACAAATAGAAGTAATACCACACGAAACGGTAGCCATACCACCCTAGAGTTATCAACCCTTGGAACTGCAAAGAAAAGGAGAAAGTTTTAGCGTTTAGTTGAGGTTGTGGAGTGTGAGGCCGGACGAAAAAGAAAAAAAAAAAAGAATGAATTGTACCCGTGTATACATTTTTGGTAATAAGAGACCGGGAAACAATGAAACCGAGACACAAAACAATGGATGTTAACATACGTTTTTTTTTTTTTTTTAACTCTGTATGATGTCAGAGATGTATATTTATCAAGTATGTAACAAAATTTCCACTTTCAAAATATTACGTTTTTCTTATTCTTCTTCCTTTTTTTACGAGAAGCATTTAAATATAATTTTTTTGTTTTGTTTGCTGTTTGTCATTCACTTATCTATACATACATTATTTGACAATTAATTACTATAAAAAATATATCCTTTGACAATGAATTACTATAAAAATATATCATTTGACAATTAATTACTATAAAAAGACAATTTACTATAAAAATATACCATTTGACAATTAATTACTATAAAAAAATATACCATTGACAATGAAACTTACGATGTCCAGGACAGCCAAGAAGATGCCACACCCTATTACGGCTTTTAGCGAACACATTTTGCTTTTGTCCTTCACGCTCCCTGCAGACCTGGAAGGAGAGGATGAAGACTGTGAGAATTGGCAGAGAAATTGGCGGAGAAATTGGCGACGCCGAAAAGAAAGATGTTTCGCGTGTGAAAATCGCCGAAGGAGAGAAATGGCGCCAAAAAGGTAAACATGGCGCCTTCCAGGGTCACGAAGAGCCAATCAGCGACCGAGTTTGCAATGACGTCACTAACTTCAACAGTACTCGAGAAGAGATTACATCCTGTGGGAACCTTTCGGGCTCCTTCTTTACATGTCTCTCGCCCAGGTTATATTTCCCCCCTCTCTTGTCTCCTCTTTGAAGTCTTCTTAATTCCTCTTAACCCCTTCTCTTTGTAGACTCCCGCCCCCCTTTTACTCCCCCTCCTTCACCTCCCTTTTACACTCCCCCTCCCTTCACCCCCTGCCCCCCCTTTTACACTCCCCCTCCCTTCACCCCCTCCCCCTGTAGACTCCCGCCCCCCTATTATACTATAACTCCCCCTCCCTTTTTACACCCCCTGCCCCCCCTTTTACACTCCCCCTCCCTTCACCCCCCCCGCCTAGCCTCACCCGGGCGGTCGCGCGGAAAGTCAGTCCTAGGGGAACCTTGGCATCCCGCCCCTGCAGGAGGGACATTAGGTGCTCTAATAGCGTAGATCCTGGGAGGGAGGGAGGAGGAAGGGGGGAAGGGAGAGGAGAGGGGAGGAAGGGGAAGGAGGGGGAGGAGAGGAAGGGGGGGAGGAAAGGGGGGGGAGGGGAGGAAGGGGGAAGGTGGAGGGGGAAGGGAGAGGAGGAGGGAGGGGAGGAAGAGGGAGAGGAGGGGAAGAAGGAGGAAGCAGAGAGGGAGTGGAGCTCGAAGGAGGAAAGCGGAGTAAATGGGAGTTCGAAGGAGAAGAGAGGGGTGGAGGGTAAGAGGGAAGGAGGGGGAGTTTCGAAGGAGGAAAGAGGAGTTGGAGGGAGGGAGGGAGGAAGACGGGGATTAAGACGAGGGGGGGAAAGATGCAGGTCAGGGTGAGGGCTTGAATTTGCACGTGATAGCGACGAATTGTCCTCCCGTCTCTCTCTCTCTCTCTCTCTCTCTCTCTCTCTCTCTCTCTCTCTCTCTCTCTCTCTCTCTCTCTCTCTCTCTCTCTCTCTCTCTCTCTCTTCTTCTTCCCCCTCTCCTTTTCTTCTCCTTCTTCTTCTCCCTCTCCTCTTCTCTTCCTTCTCTCTCCCTCTTCCTCTCCTTCTCCCTCTCCCTCTCGTGACGTGCGCCTGCAACGTCGCCGAGATGGCTGGCGGAAGCACGCTTGGCCGAGAGGAAGGCAAGAACAATGTGATTCCGTCAGATGTTGGTTGGTTTAACGAGGTTACAGTCTAACCCCGCTATTCGCCCCCGTGAACCACGCTATTCGCCCCGTGATTTGAGTCGTTCTTGCAGCCCGCGTTCGAGTCATGCTTCATGATGTTTTGAACGCACTCGCATATCGCAAATTGGGGCCGTTTTGCTCATCATTCTTTTCGGTATGTGTGCCTGCGTTGTGTGTAATTGTATGTGTGTGTTTGTGTGTGTGTGTATGTGCGCGTGTGGTGTGTGTGTGTGTGTGTGTGTGTGTGTGTGTGTGTGTGTGTGTGTGTGTGTGTGTGTGTGTGTGTGTGTGTGTGTGTGTGTGTGTATCACGCGCTCTTGGCAAACAAGACGGAATTTCTTCTTCGTCAACATCTTCCGTTAGTCTCTCCGTGCACCAATTCCCCCAAATATGGAAAAAAAAAGGAGAGAAAAAACGCAGAAAATCCGAAGAATGGAAAAAATGAATAATAGTCGCCCGCACTTCGTACCGGAAACTCATAAACACTAATATCGGTTCTTTGTTCGAAGGTCGAATTTCGAAGCGTGTGTGTATTTGCTGCCGAGAAAGCGCCGTCGTGGAGGGAATACGCACCCCGCCCCTCTCCCCCCCCTCCCCCCCTGCCCATATGTCACACGGGTTGAAAGCGAAGAAGAGAGAGAGAAACAAGGAGTCCTTCTTGAGCCGCCCTTGAGGAACACGCCTTCTTCTTGTCTCTTTTTTTTTTCCAGTTTTGAAGGAATTTTCTCAAAGCCTCCTCTCTCTCTCTCTCTCTCTCTCTCTCTCTCTCTCTCTCTCTCTCTCTCTCTCTCTCTCTCTCTCTCTCTCTCTCTCTCACACACACACACACACACACACACACACACTACCTATCTTGTGCCTTTCTTTCGTCATTTGTTATTTTCATTTTTTTTTTCTCTCTCTCTCTCTCTCTTCCAATTTTGTATGAATTTTCTCAAGTTCCTTCTCTCTCCTTTGCGACCTTCCAGTGGCAAGCGGCGCCGTGGGACCTTACTCCAACGTTCCCAGGGAGAGAAAACAGTGTGAAAAGGTCGAGGAAGCGTTTTTTTTGTTTATAAATAGAGATTTTTCTTCCGTCATGTAACGCGGTAAGTCGTTTGTGGTAAGGATAATGGTCGCCTTTAAGATACACGTAAATAGCAAGTGTAATAGTGGCGGAAGTAATAGTAAGAGTAATTGCAGAATTGGAACTAGACTAGAGGCTAGAATTAATAGGGTAAAACTAGAAACTAGTGCAAGTGACCGTAAAAGGTGTGGTTGTTGCAGAAGTGGGAAAGTGATCAAAGCAGAGGAGAAAGTAACTATTATAACGAAATAATCCTAGCAACACTAGTAATAATACTAATAGCCCTGAAGTAGTAACTTATAGTAGTCATACTAGCAGAGGCAGTTGCTATAATCTATAGAAGTGCTCGAAAGCCGCTATGGACAGCAACGCTCATGATTGACACATTAAATAGTAGTTGCAACATCGCAGTTGTTGCTAAATCCTTCGCACAGGGAATTATCACTTGGGAAATATTAAAGACAAACAAAAATTAGTACGATTATCCTTGCTGTTATCATTATTGAGACATCGTTAGCCTCATTTACTCGAAAATTCTAGAAATTCATCCATGATAAACACAGGTCCTAAAATCGTTACTCATAATCTTTCGTATTTAACATTTCCACGAAGGCTGAAGGAACGAATCCAAGATCAGTTTCAAGAATATCCATCTACGCCTTTGGTAATTATCCGAATTATCCGAATTAATTCCGATGGTTTATATCCTGGCTTGGGAAGAACAACCATTTGGCTCTCTTGTCTCGTTAACAACCCGAGGACCGTCACTGTGCCATACCAAAAACTCGTGGTAAACTTTGTGATAGTTTACCACAACAAATCACTTGAAAGAAACAGAAAAAAAAAACACTGGAAGCAATTTAAAATTTCTAACAAACCAAAAACAATCACAAGAAAGCACCAACACAGCGCCCGTGTCCCAGAGCGCAGGCGTCCAACACTCACAGAGAACTCGGAGCGGGAGTGGCGGGCGTGCGGGCGTGTTATCCGTTCGAGGCGGCGAGAGCGCGAGAGGCCACGAGTGTCCGGTAAGGTCTGCGGGCCAAGACTGATCCTCGCCGCCGTCCGCGCTGGGTTAAGTCCGCAGCGCGCCGCCGGAAGCCTCGGCTTGAGTCACGCTCGTTTCTTGGGACTATCGCGACGCTCGGGGAAGGCGCAAGACAGGGCTGCATGCGGGTCGGAAGGGCTGAAGCGTTAGGGCGAGGGATGGGATTTTCGACACTATCGCCTCGAAGGCTGATTCTCTCTACGTAGGGATAGGTTTGAGGGAAAGGAAGGGGTGGGGGGGTTAGATAGTACTTACATTTAAGTGTGCCGTGATTTTTTTCTTCTTTTTTGACAAGTAATAATAGTCGTTGGCACTTATGTAACAAGTACCATCGCGGAGGCAAGGTAGTGCGATCTCACGCTCGGCGAGTTTGAATACTAACTTTTTTTTCTTCTTCTTTTTCTCCTAGTGCTCTTTTTCACCGCAAAACCAGTCTTACGGACGGTGTTTACGTTCAGGGAGGCAACAGCGTGCCATCCTCGTTCGCATCCAGCTTAAAGCCTCTTTTTCCAGCCGTGTCGAGAAACCTCTTACCATTATTACTGCTTCTCGCCACAAGTGCATGTTAGGAGGGCGTCTTGTGAGGGTCTTGTGAGGGTCAAACAGAGGAGCATAAAGGTCGTTGTTTTGGACATAAATGCATCGTGTGAATTCGCATTTGTCTTCTTGATGGAAAGAATTATTCCTCTTATTGCGGATGAAAATGAGAATTACGAATATGTCTTCATTTTCCTCCATGACACGTTTAACAAGGAGGGGGATTGCAGAAATACGGATTATTTTTAACAGAACGCCATAAATCTGGTACTTGTGAATGTGCGTTTAATTCACTGTGGAAAACAACCTTCGTTATTTTCATTATTAATAAATTTTAGTGGCACTGTCATAATAAGATTAATACGTGCTACTAATAAAAAAAATTAGTGATGGTGATACTGATGTTAACAATCTTGATGATGATGATAACAAATCCATAGTAATAATGACAACAATGGTGTTATTATTATAAAAAATGACCATGGTAATAAAATTAGAAAGAAGGATTTAAAGAGAATTACTTGAACTGTCCCAATAATACTTATATCTCACACAAACAGAAAAATTTTGATAGTAATAGCGATCCAGCAATAATGACGATAACTTAAAGAATCATTATAGTAATGTGATCAATGATGATTAAAATAACAGTAAAAACGTAATATACAGATAATGGCGATGATAATGGTAGCAATATTAATGAAAATTTCATCGACATTAGCAAGATTGATAATGATAACGATAATAACGAGGGTAAGGATTAAAAAATCGTAATGAAGACAACTTGTAAGATGCTAATAACAAAAAAATAAATATCTCAGTATAACCATTATAACCATAACAAAGACAAACTCCACATATCAACAAAAATAAACAAAAAAACAAGAGTAGAATCTGCCACACAGAGAGCGCAGGGTTAAAATATCATTCACGAAGATGGAAGTCCAGCCCGCGGTCGCTTCCGGACTCGTGACGTCAGAGCAACGATCTATGACGGAGGCGAATCCTCGACGTTTCCGCATTTTTTAAATCTCCTCTTTCTGGGGATGTCGAGGTACTATTCCCTAAGTGACGCACGCACAAGGGCTTCTCATTTTGCCTCAAGTACAAGGGGAAAACGAGACAAAAAGTACTCATATGAGCGCCAAGACCTTCTGTTTACGAGAGAGCGTGGGAAGATGTTGTTATTTTATGCACGTTCGCGCCTGCTCTCGGATTCGTGTGTGGACATCTAGAGCTCCTGCGTTTTATGAATGGATGATCGCGTGTTGCGTTTAGACTGAATCGTATTTTAGTCTGATTAGTATTATTAGTCATCGGTTTAGATCATTTTCTAAATTTAGGTCAGGAGGTAATCTAGCTTTGCACAAGATATTTCACTTCAAGAGTTGATTTTCTTTTTTCATATATAACTTTAAATGGCAAATGTCATGGATTTAATTTAAAACTATTGGCGTTCTTCTAAGGTAAAATATTAGTTCCGCAATGAACATTTTACTTTATAATTATTCATCAAAAGGAGATGCACGATAAAATTGACATCGTTATTTTAATAAGCCTTTTTACAATGCCCTCGTCCCACATGTCAGCCTAGTCACTCGAATAGATAACGAAATACAGCTCAAACCTTTTCTCCAAATGCGACACTCCCATCCGTTAACGAACTTACACAAAGAAATAGATTAAAAAATAAGATACAAAACTCCGGGTCCCAGATTTTCCTTCAGCTTCCTTCTCGATGACCAACAGAGCTTCACACCTGGATTCCCAGGATTACGTCACTAAAACTGGTATTGTCAGATTTAAAGCGGTGGTACTATAGTTAACAA